CATAATCGTGGTTGATGGATAGATTTTAGGTAATAGTTTTTAAATTAAACTCAGAATAGTTGTAATAAAACTTGTAGAGGTATAATAAATACAAATTAAATTTTAGACAGTTATATTCAAAAAAAATTATAAGCAGATTTGACTTGATAAAAGTGTTTATGACATGTGTATAGTTGTACGGTTAAAAATCATCTGCCTTAGCATGGCAAGATTGCCCCTTTTTAGAGCAGCTCGGTGGAGTGTTTGTCCAATGTAATGCAATTTGCCGTTAGTGTATGACCTCAGTTGGCTGTACATCCTAGTCTGACAGTGGCAGAAAAGGTTTGAGGTCCGGAGGAAGAGATACTTTAATATCTTAAAGGTTACTAATCAAGGCTTGCCTATTAAGCTCTTTTGTCTTCTTGTAAATGAACTGCGAAGGAATCCGTGTCGTAAAATAATCTAGAGTAAGCCTAATTTGTGACTAGAACAATGTCTAATTTCGGTGTGAGGAAAAACAAATCCTGTTTTTCCTAGAACTTTTAGTTAGACACGGCCTAGTCCTAACAGCTTATTCTATGGAGTAATCCATTCCGATTAATGTTCCTGAAAATTGAGATAGTAAGAAATCCCTGTCCTGAATTGCAATGACAATTGCCATGCATGCATTAAAAGGCCGCATTTTGCTGATTAGTTCTTTAAAAATTACTTTTAATTGCTTTTTAGTCATTTTAAGCTATGTATAAGTTTAAAGGTAATTTCAAGATAAACGAATTTTATATCACTAAAAGTAAAATGTCAAAATTATGGTTAATAATAATATTGAATGATGGAATGTACACGTGTATCCATCACATATACTAACCAATTTATTACTTATTTTTTTATCCTCTGTAGTATTTGATATAGTACATATGTAAGTTTAAATGTACCATAATTGTTTACTTATTTTTTCTTAAATAATAACATACAATTTGTACCAAAATTGATTTTATAATTTGTAAGTTTTGAATCTTTTGATAAACTTCTCTCTAGACTTCTCTACTAGACCGCTCTAATTCAATTTTGAACGGATAGAAGTTTATACATTAAAGTGTTTAAAAATTAAATTTCAAAAGTTTTACAAATATTGCGAATGAGTTTAATGAAAAATGTTACAAAAAAAATGTCAATAGTACGACAATTTGTACATAATTAATATGATAATCTGTTTGCAACCGATACAAAGACCATAGCCAAGATGACAAACTTTAACTTCGGTAGTTTTGTTTGCAATTTACCATTGAAACACAATTTGATAAACCGTTATTGCGTTTTAAGATCGCATTAACCCATTTTTGGCCAAGGATGTATTTATTTTATGGTGGCCAGAAATGGGTTAAAGAAAAAAAAAATGTTCTTCTCAATTTCGCATTTTTTAACGTGATATACTTTTCGAAACGATCGTTTGAAATAATACTGGAAAATAAAATATAATAATTTAGCCGAAGAACAATATTAGGTATAATACAATATAAAGGCAAATTATATAAACTTACAAACAATAGAGAGATACTGTACAAATCAACTATGGCTGTTGTCGTCTTTTTTTTCTTCCGAGTTTGGCGTCATTCCTATGAACCCGCCACAACACGGAACTGGTTCGAAGGACTTCCAATTATAATTGGGGGTAACAGCAGACATCTTTCCTCTAGTTACTACATTCTTTGCCGTCGAGCGTATTGACAACGGCTCCACTTGGGCCCGTGTTGACGTCACAATGCTTTTAGGCGAGTATGTTGGATATTCGTCAACGCGATCCGTCTTGGCGGGAAACGTCTTGATCATCTCTTCGGTATTCGTCGTTTTCGAACTTGCGTCGGACCGAGAGAACGTCGATCGGTACGAGGGTTTCGAAGATGTCCTCTTATTGTCCTTTGCCGATATTATATGGGGCGATACGAATTTGAAAACGACATTTGCTTGAGGCGGCGTCGACTTTGTACCGGCAGTTTTAACGGCATCGAATTTAGGCAAAAGCGTCATTTTAACGACGTTTTTCTGCGCCATTTTCGAATTCCTACCAACGGAGGACTCGGCGGTGCTCGACCGCTGCTTGTCGGCGTTGACCACCGTATTGGCAGAACTGGTGTCGAATTGTCTTTTAGTGACCAGCTGGTAGGACAACAGCGGTAAATCGTACCGGACCGTGTAATGCCGGTTTTTAGACATTTTATTATCCGTCGTCAAAGTGGTCGTCGAACGGACCGTCGACGACCCGCCGGTGGGTATGTTACCGAAAATGTCCCTCCACTTGTCGTAACCGACCGTCGATGACGATTTCATCGCCGCGGTCGAACGGGCAAGAGAATACGGCGAACTGTCTGTCGTCTGACGGCGCGAATGTGTGACTTTTTGTTGCCCCGACGGTGTGTTTTTCACAGAATTCTTTTTTTTCTGTAACCGCAACATTTGACCGTCGGAGAACGCAAACGTTGCTCCCGTGCCAAAGGAAAACGTCTTCGTGGTCAGACGACCGTTTGTTTTCGGCAAACGCGGCTTTTGTTGAGACGTAACCATCAAGTGTAAGCGACCGTTCGGTTGCTCCGTTTGAAAGGCCGGTGTGTTTTTGCGGGACACGGTTTTGAGTTTGTTTAAAGAATTGGCCGGCTTTTTTTTCGGCGGCTCCACAGATTTCGACGATTGGCTGTGCCGTACGTTCTTAAAACGAAGATTTGTCGTTTGTCGGTTTTGGTGGTTGTTGGCATTTGGACGGTCCGTGGTCGACTGTAGTTTTTTGTATTTCACATTACTGAATATTGCAAAACCTTTGTTCGAGTTGATTCGTCGATCGACAATATTGTTTAACTTCGAACTGTAGTCAAAATTATCTAAAAATTGAGTAACGCAACGGTGTTAAACTTTGTTAACTATGTGTCGTTATTTTGTCTTACCGTTACTATCTTCGGTAGTGGATGGAATTAAATTTTGGCCGTTTACCATTAGTGATGATCCATTTCGAATAAAAACGACAATTATTATTTTAAAGAGCACAAAATATAACATTGTAAAGTTTACATTTTATGGGAAAAAAACAACATACAATTTAAACATTTAAGTAGGTACTTGTGATGATATATCATTTTGCTTATTAAATTACACTATGAAATTTATATGGTAACGGGTACAAACAAAATGAAAACTCAATGTGTCGTGAAATAATAATAATAATGATGGAAATTTAAATTTACAAAATAATGTTTTATGATAAAGAATCTTTTATTCAGAAAATTGATAAAAATGTTTCAAATAAGGTAATAAGAATAATGATATGTTAAATAATAATATTTTAAAAAATAGGCAAATATATATTTTTATATAGTTCTAAATAAGCATAAATTATAAAATGATTATAAATGACTATGAATTAAGTTAAGAGTGAATCTTAGGAAATACATTTTCGTCTTCAGCGCGGCCATCACGTTCGACGTTGGAGTCTTCCATAATTGAAAGTTCAACAAAGTGGACAGGAGTTCGGCTTTGGCCATGGCCGGCCTCGGGTTCTTCTCCACCAGTATCGTCATCATGATCACCACCGCTATGGACGGCATTAGCATCAGCGAATCGAGAGGGACGTCGTCCGTGAGAAGGACTTCCATAAATCCGGAAAAATGACGAAAGTCGCTCAAGTCGACTATTGTCTTCACGGGCAGGTTGAGCAGAGTCGTTGATTGCATATTTTTCCAAATTCTGTTGTCTTCCTTGTCTTCCTCCGCCGAATCTACCAATTCGATTACCTGGCCGTCCGTCAATTTCTTCGGTCGTTTCGTCGTCGGTGGATGACACTGGCCCGAAGAAAACCCCAGTTTCGAATTCGGGCGTTTCTTCAACGTCGTCTGTTTCGCCGGTTTGGTCGGTGCAGCGGTCGAAGTCGACGGTGTCGGTGCAAAAATATCGGTTTCTTGAAGATCCATGGTTGGTTTGCGTTTGAAAAGATTCTTGCGACTGAAGTGATTCTTGTTTAAAGTGTGGAACGGCACTAATTTCGAGGTCCATTCCGATCGTATTTATATACGGTCGTTGAGGCCTGTTTGGGTTGTTGGCTCGCACTAACGTACTAACTACGCACGAGTCGCTATTTTACCATCTGGCCAACTAGTCCGCCCACGTGCGCACACGTGCCACTACTTTTGCCGCCGCCGCCGCGAACCTCGTACTGGTTACTTGTTCACCAATTTCAAATTGGTATACGACGACGACGACGACGACACGTTTAGGCCATTGACCTTTTATCTTACCGCCGGCGGCCTTCATGGCATGGCTTTTAATAATGTATTCGTTTTTAGGAATAAAATTGGAATAATTTCATCAAGAAATAGTGAAAAGTAAAAAAAATTATGGTAGAGTTAAAGAATAAAAGTAATCATTTATGTGTTATAAATATTTTGAATAAACTTGAATTTAATGGGAGAAGTTAATTGCAAATCAAGTATGATATAAGTATAATACAGGTTTATAATAATTTTAATCTTTGCAATATTTTACAAGAACAAATACTGAGTATCGAGTAACCGAATAAATTAAGTCACGTTCTAGAGAAATTTTAAATCTTCTTGAAAGGAGTCAAATTGTAATTGATAGCTCATTTTGGAAATTCAATTAGTAATATGAAAAATAAATAAAAGAAATTTGACTAGGCAAAAGTTTCGACTGAAAAAAAATATTTAAAAAAGGGGAGTGCTATTTTTGTGATTAAAAGATTATTTTTAACTTCCCAAAACGTGTATTTCAAAATATAAATCGAACCAGTATGTGGTTGACTATATGAAACCTGTTATTAGTTTATCTATATATACAAGAAGTGAATAATCCTTGCAATGTGTTTAAATACAATTAAATATACTGGATGCCTTAGGCTATAACAACTTTTACACACGTCGGTTGCGAGGGACATTAAATAATAATAGACACTGTCTCGATGATATAAAAATAAACATATTTTTCGTTAATTATAAATTATTTTATTTTGAAATAACTTTTAGCATCAGTAAAACAAAATTGGTATGCCTCCAAATTTAATAAAAAAAACCTCAAGTAATGCATTCAAGTACATAACTTTAAATAAAAGTAATACGAGTAACCCCGTTCTAAAAAATCAATGTGGACCTAGAACGATCAGATTACCAAAAATGTCACCAGTGCCTGAACCACCTAAAAGGTATAATTCACTTATTAACAATTTTAGTTATGTATATTACTCGCTTTATTATACTTGTCGCCTTTAGTATAATTACTGATTATATTTTGTTTCCGAGTACCTGTATATGAATAGGAAATCCTTTATTCAACAACTAATTATACCACTGTTTCGACTATAATTTACATACATTTATTATTATTTTTGTTGTATTAATATATTTAAATGCTAAGATTAGTCTTATAGCTAACCCCGCGTTACCTTAGAATTTACTTTTGTGTTAAATTTACAAGAAAGTTTTCTGATAATAGGGCAAATTTATATTCAACAATGATCAACATTAACATAGACGCGACACTATGCCTAGAACTGTGTTTTAAGCATAGCCTTAGATAGGTTTTGTCAATTTCTAAAATTGAGTTTTAAAAGCAGTTGGACAATAGAGCTAAGCAAAGTAAAATACCAGGAATTTACATTTAAGGGCATTAGACATGATCAGCGGATACGTTCGGTGTGGGAGAAACAAGCCCTATTCCCCTAGAACGGAGTTTTAGACGTATCCCCTGTTATGCTATTTCCCAATGTATATATGTATTCACAAGTGAATCAGTCGATACCGGTTAATTGGCCAGAAAAATTTGATGGAATTGAATGCCCATCCTGAACCACTAGCAAAATTGCCATAGATATATTATACGAGATTTCTAAATTTCTCTCTAATAACACCCAATAATTTTTTTTCGAATGTTCTTAAATAACTTAAGAACTCTTAATACTCTTATGAGTACGTCTCCTTTTATATATAGTACAATTTTCAAACGCAATCCTTATTATTTCTATAAAGAATACAATTTGTAGAGGATGTTTTACCTCGGGGCCCTTTCGGTTTGGACTGTTTGATATAAATAAGTTAATATTAATAGGTCATCACTCTCTATAGCCAAAATTACGAAACATTTTACAGGCGTATCCTAATAAAAGATCAATCAATTCCGTAGCTTCCTTTTGTGATTTGTAGAAAGAATTCATCAAAAATTTGATAATTTATCCTTTATTAACTTCTCTAATTATGTCTTGTTTTTATTGAATTTTAACTTTACCTATATCATGTTATTTTATAAAATGGATGTAGTATCATAACTATTTTATTTATTGTTCATTTTAGGCTTAGGGATCACAAAATAATCTTTCCACGGTATATAGATGATTCGTGTGTATGTAAACCAAAAATAAACACGCCTACGTTGAAACAGAAAATTGTAACTGCATCTTCTTATATAGTCAGTTCGATGGTAATATACTGTGGTCTAAAGGTATTGGCCAAAACTGGCGTGTGGGGCTCTCAAGATGAAACTCGGCCAATTTTAGACGGACTATATGATGCATTAGGGCCAATATTTTGTTCAAAAAAAGAAGTCAAGACGGTAAAAAATTATCATAGGTTATTCATTAAAAATAAAAATACAAACATACATTGATTTATTAAATGTATACACTTGTTAGTAAAATGTATTCATGGAGTATTAGTTTTTTTAGAGAAAATTAACAGATCGGTGGAATGATTTTTTATGGAAAATTGGATCGTTTATTTGTGGGAATGTCAGAACCGAACCTACTAAAATTCAAGTTACAGACGATGTATCTAAACTGTCCAGTCACGAAGGTTTACCAACGATACCATACAAACCTGAAATATAGTCAACGCAAAAAATCTATTTGAAATAAATAATAGTTTATTAAATAAAATATATATTGCCTATTTGTTTAAATTAATAAATAAAAAGTACGTTTAATAAGTGAAACAGCAATACAGTATACTTACGATACTGTTAAGACCCTATAGCCCTGTACTTAGGTATTGTAGGCTGAATGAGTTTGTCACAATCGTGGTTGATATAATTGATAGGTTTTTAGGTATTATAGTGAGCCCGGAAAGGCGTTTACATACAATAAGTAAATGAGGACAAACGAAGACTTTATAATAAAAACATCTTTAGAAATATATTGAAACTGTTTTAATAAGCACTTGTGAAATAATAATAAGATACGTAATGACTGACTGGCTGACGACTGACAATTGTACAGGAGAATAGATAAGTTTATATAGTAATATGTAAATTAGTAGATTGTATCAAACAACATAAAAATAGGTTTAGAACAAGGAGGACAAGTATTAACAAAGTTAACTACGCAGTTTCCAAATAGCCAGTCAAGGTCAACACATTTTTTATGGTCTAGAATGAGTGAAGCTGTTTACTTTTACGGAAGCTGAAGAAGTAGTTAAACTACAAATAACGAATCCAAATTCTATTTTTATTTTTGATGATGTGTTGTGTGATACTCAAATACCCATTCAAGATTATTTTAGTATGGGGAGACATTTTGGTGCTAATTCAATTTTCTTTTTTTAGTACAAAGTTATTCTAAAGTTTTAAAACGATTGGTACGCGATAACTGTAATTTATTAGTGGTGTTCAAACAAGACGAACGCAATTTAAGACATATATTTAATGATCATATTTCAACTGATATGGATTATCTAGATTTTCAAAAAATGTGTATTTATTGTTGGGGTTATGAAAAATATGGTTTTCTTGTTATAGATAAAACTAGAAATGTTAATGATGGTCGGTACAGACGTGGTTTTGATGTCTATATAAGCTTGGTGTAAACTGAAATATTTTTTAGTTTGCTAAAATGTCAGAAAACAAAATATTACTTAACAATTTGGTAGAATCAAAAAATAATATTAAGCGGAAAATTATGGAGTTAAAGCGCGGTGTTTTAGATTCTGAATATACATTTAACGAAACATTTAAACCGATTATAGAACCACTTAATATGCTAGTTAATGACAAAAAAATGAATAGAATTTTTGATGAGGAATTATCTGTTACAACAAATGAGGAAAACGCTGATCCTCAATTAAAAAAAATATATATAAACATTACCACTCCTCCTCTATACAATTATTTCTACTGTCTTCTAAAAAGTATTTTTTTAATGAATTTAAATTTGAATTAAAAAAAAGAAGTGGTATTTTTTTAGAATTAATTATTAATAAATCATATTTTTTAATTATAGTATCCACCCATTCATCTATCTCTTCCCAGCTTAATTTTTCTTCTTCTTCTTCATCTTCTTTTTGATTCAATAAATCTTTTCTATACCTATAATATTTTAATATATGGTTTAAAAATAGAAGATGTTTTACATTTTTTTATATTACCAATAATCAATTTGTTCATCTTCTTCAACATCATCCTTATCTTCTATCTTCAACTCCTTAAAATATTCTTTAATCAGCTCGATTTTCTCTTTATGTTTTAAATGGTCCGGAATCCAAGGAACGTAATAATCACAACATGACATATTTTCCAAGTTGTAATTATAAATTGTTTGTTCTATAAATTTTCTGTCATTAATGCAAATCATTATGAACTGTAAAATAATGTAATAAAAATTAAGGTGATAGAAAAAAAATTATTTCAACTAGTTTACATATTAATCTATTATGACTTCTTTAAGAGATATAGCCAACGAATTACATAGACCAGCTAGAAAAATATTTCCAAGACGTAAAGTTATTACAAGGTTCATGGATGAACTTTGGCAAATTGATTTAATGGATATGCAGGCGCATTCGAGGAAAAATAGTGGTTTTAAATATATTTTAGTTGTTATTGATACGTTTACTATCCTCTCTCCGTTCAAAGTGATACATGTCTAGATTTTTATGGCCACCACAAAATATGGATGTGATGCCAATAAAATAAAATATTAACTTAATTATATATTTAAACAAATTATAGATTTTTTGTTAATGTATGAATGTGATTTATGTGTCAAGTTGACTAATATATAATGCTAAGCCAGTTAGGATCTTGTAATTTATATGCTGATCTTTCAGAGCCAGCGAGGAGGATTTTATCTAGTCTACTCTTCACTCGTACCCGTTCATCTCTATTGACGGTGGAATAATGTATACAATTGACAACACCCAATACCGGTCTAGAAAAAATGGTAACCTCTATCCGTTCAAAGTGATACATGTCTAGATTTTTATGGCCACCGCATATGAAACGTTTAAAATAAGGATGTGATGCCAATAAAGACATAACTTCACCGTTTCCGTTTACTGCTGCATTCATATCGAATTGTTCAATAGATGGACGTAGAAATATTTTCAAAATATCATTTATTGCTACATAATCCAGTCTTCTCCTAACATAATATGTACCACCTGCATGCTCATTCCTCCACTTGTATAACACAATACGTGTATTACCATCCTGTAAATAACCGATGGGGTGTATATACTTGGTGCCATTATGTGCCATTGGTACAAACGACGGAAATATAGCTTTTAGTTTATCATCATCAAGCTCTATAGTATGATAAAATAGTACGATATCAGTTTCCAAAACTTCATCAATTGCTCAATTCAAATCATCGTCTGTGTTAAGTCTGCGACCTTTGCAAAAGTTTTAAACACGAAGTTGTTGTCGATGGAGATGTATTTTGTTTTAAATTAAAGAGAATACTTACAGTGATCTCCAACGTTCATGTTTTCAACAATAGTAAATACCTCCTATTGACCCTAAAAAACAGTAAAATATTAATTTGACATTAATTTAAAAATAAACTAAACTAACTTACATATTAATCCGAATCAGTTAGCCAAATGGTTTCAATAGCTGGCTGATTAAGACGCAGAAGTGGTGGTAACACGTCTGCATCTGATTCACAAGTAATATCTGTTGACGACCATTTAAAAAAAATAGGAAATATTATTTTATTTAAAATAAAAAAAATTAACTTAAATGAATCTGCTAAAGAAACCGACGATGGTTCTGATGTTCTAGCAGACGATGGATACGAATCGCTGTCCATTTTGAACTAACAGCTCTAACTCACATAGTAAGTTTTGATAGTGAAAAACCCTATCTACACGTTTTAGTGAAAGACAGACGAAACAATTTCGCCTCGTAATTATATGTTCACAAACGTATTCATTCGAGTCGTTACATTGTAACATCCATCGTACAATAGCTAAAATAATTTTATAAATACGAGATTCATTGAACGAGACACGCCGCACCACAGGAACGGTTTAATTATCCTTTCATTCTTCACACATTAATTGTATTCTCAACGCGGGGACGATTTCGCTTTAATAATACCATACACATATACAACTTATTTATGAGTATGTGTACTATACTATTATTCTATGGCGCTCTATGGTCCTCTATGGGTGCAAATAAACATTATTATTATATACCTCTGCTATATTGCTGGGAAAAAAACCATGTTTTTTCAAACTAGAAATATAAAGACAAGAGTCACACAACCACATACAAATACAACAACAAAATTACAGCTAAATTTAAATATATTTTTTTATTGTTTCTATAATGTTGTACATTTTTTTTATTATCTCTTCATCTAGTTTGACATTTTTAATTTTATTTTTATAATTTATTCGTCTTCTAGCATGTTTACTAGGCTTGCCTAGTGACTTAATTTTTTTTATTTTCTCCTTAGGATCTAATAAAGTGCTAGATGTTTGTTGTGCCATACCTTGATTGAATAGTAGTGAGGACTGTTACGATATGCTAAAAAAAAATCATAATGATCATTCTTCATACTATTTTTTTTTTTTTTTAAGACACTCAATATTTTCACACAATCACATACAAATACAACAACAACAAAATTACAGCTAAATTTAAATATATTTTTTTATTGTTTCAATAATATTATAAAAAAAATTTATTATTTCTTCATCATGTTTAACATATTTTTTTTATTTTGATATTTTATACGTCTCCTAGCATGTTTACTTGGTTTGCCTAGAGACTGAATTATTTTTTGTTTTTCCTTTGGATCTAATAATATCGATGAATTTTTTTGCGTCATGCCTTGAAGAGTGGTGAAAAGGTTTTTTTAACATTAATAAGGGTTTTATTAACGTTTTGAAACACTCCTACTAAGGTGTATAATAAATAACACAGCAACATTATATTTGACATAGAAATAACAAAATATATAAAATATCTATTTTTTATCGGAAAAAGTCTTAACAGTTCTAGTTTCGTCGGACATAAATCGAGCTGCCAAAAAGCTGCTTGACAAGTTGTTGGATTTTTACCTCTTTTTTCGAATGGTCCGTCAAACAAAGTTTAGCAGGATGGTGAACGTGTTTCCATCTAGAAAAAAAATTTACTAGAATAATAGAAAATTGATTAACAAAATTATAATTTACCTTAGTGATGGTGAAATTTTTGATATTCTATCAATATCATACTCCTCAACAGTAATATACTTTTTCGCATGAGGAGTTTTGATAGCTATTTCTTATGTTTGTTTAGACCCATTATCAACTTTTAAAATAGACTTGTCGTAGCAAAACTACCGGTTTGGAATTGCCTCCTTTTCTACTTTTTCCATCAAGTTCGAAAACTAAAAAAATAAAACATGTTTTATAAAACGGATAAACTTCTAAATAATTTAAATACATTTTTTAGATATTTATAAAAAAAATTTTAAAAATTTTTCATTGACTCATCCTAAATTTAAGTATAAAAAATTAATTTAAAATTTTAAAATAAAACAAAGTATAGCTACTTACTTTTAGCATGGTCTCATATTTTCTAATCATCCTTAATAGACTTTGCTAAAATTATTTTTTTAAATTTGATATTAAATAAATAAAAATGTTAAAAACAAGTCATTAGTGTTGTTAGTTTAAAAAAAAGTGTTTACTAAACATTCCATTAGCTAATCAATTATGCTGTTTAAAAAAAAAATAAATAAATAATAATAATAATAACTTACATGTATAGATCAAACACATGATGGTAATCTTCATCTCCTAGACTGTCTGCTAGCCTTTAAAAAAAAATATATGATAATATTATTTTTGATGTTAGTGATACTTATAACGATTACTTACTACTATGTTAGTTACTATTCTACAGTTTTTTTTTTGTTTTTTCTCTTACTATTTTTTTTTCTTAATCTCGGCATATCCTTAATTATATGGTAAAATTTAATCGGCCTTAGTTTGTTAATAATATATGCTAAAATACAACGAGAAGCAACCGTGTCAATGTTTATCCTGGATAGCTATCACTATCGCCATACAAGTGTTATATGGTCTTAATTTGCTAAAGCGTTCTTTAAAAGTAGCCTTAAATTGTTTTTCTGTGCGTTTGAGAAAACTACCGGAAAATTGATTATATTTGCTTCTAACAGTATTCGGCTTGAAAATTTTCGGTCCTATTACCACCTAATGTTCCCCGTTTTTCATCGTTTTGTTTCTTATAACAGATATCCTCCCCGTGACCTGTTTTTCCACAATAATTACATGTAATAGCCCGTGATTGCAAGAGAAAAAGGAAATAAGGGATCATTTGACTGATGTGAGCTAACTTATTGAACAAATTGATAAGTATGTAAAATTAAGAATGTTGAAAATATATATTAAACTAAAAATAACGTGTTTACAGGGCAGCTGCAACAACTCAACTGGTCGCGGTGGCCGACGCAGTAGGCGACGTAGAAATGGAACACGGTATTTGAAAAAAAAATTTAAAACAATATGCCAGACCATTGGACGGATGTGTATTGGTGTGTTTGTTTTTTTATTCGATTGATGAAATATTTTTTTTTTAGAATATCTATTATATGACTCGCCTGTTAATTTTCTAAAACCATTTGCAAAAGTTTACTGTAAAAAAAAAAAATTGTTTACCTGTATCACAATAAATGGAATTTACAAAAAAAAAAAAGTGTTGGTTACCTTTATCCTTTTGACCGTTTGATTGATATAATAGCATTATGAAACATACTCAAATGCGTACACTTGTATACACGCAACCCGTAAAATATAGTATATATACCTTTTACAAAAAAGTGTTGGTTACCTTTATCCGTTTGATTGATAAAAAATATCATTATAAAACATACTGAAATGCGTACACTTGTATACACACAACCCTAAAGAAAATATAAAAAAATGATTAGAGCAATTAAGAAAAGGTGAATAAAGAAAATATAAAAAATGATTAGAGCAATACGATGTTATAATACTAATAACAATACTAATAACAATAATATGATTATTAAAAAAAAATAATAATATGATTATTTAAAAAAAAAAATGGTTATGGACATCGGCTGGGGGACGACGGCGGCGGATCGCTAGTTGACTGCTCAGGCCCGTCTTGCGTCGCCTGAGTAGAGTGGACCTCCCAGTCCACGGTCACTAACGCCGGTAGCTCCTCTGTATAGCGTAGAATAAAAATATTAATTACTGTTTATAAGAAAATAGATAAAAAAAAAAAAAAAAATTGACTTACCCCCCGGCGGCGACTGGCCAACGACGAGGAAACTCGTCCCCAACATCTCCATCTCGATTGTAATGCCCGATCCTAAGCCTTTGTATCCGTCGGCGAGGTATTGAACCGCTCGTTGTTTTTGTGAATCGTTCATGATTCCGGATACTGAACTGAAACTAAAACACAAGTGTTTTTGGGGGGTAAAGAATAAAAAAATTGAAAACATTGAAAAAATTGCAACTTACCGTCGGCTAGGTATTGCACCGCACGCTGCTTCTGGGTGTCGTTCATGATTGTGTACATTGAACTAAAAACCGATCTCTGAAAAAATGGGCATCGGCTGGGAGGAGGAGGATGTTAAGCCGATGGTGACGACGGCGGCTGTACACTTGGGCCGTCTTGGGTCGCCTGAGTAGAGTGGACCTCCCAATCCACAGTAACTAACGCCGGTAGCTCCTCTGTATAGCGTAGAAGAAAAATATTAATTATAAGAAAATAGATAAAAAAAAAAATGACTACCCCCGGCGGCGACTGGCCAACGACGAGAAAACTCGTCCCAAGCATTTCTAGCTCTATTGTCACCCCATTGCAAGACCTTTGTATCCTAAAGGAAAAAAAAAAATTGGAAAAAATTTTAATCGAAATTAAAATTGAAAACATTGAAAAAAAAAGTCTACGGTACCCCAGTCTGCGGTAACCAACGCCGGTAACTCCTCTGTATAGCGTAGAAGAAAAATATTAATTATAAGAAAATAGATAAAAAAAAATGACTTACCCCCCGGCGGCGACTGCCCGAATATAAGAAAGTTTGTTCCCATCATTTCTAATTCAATTCGAATACCAGCATAAAGGCCTTTGTAACCTAAAGGGAAAAAAATTGAAAAAAATTTTCATCGAAATTAAAATTGAAAACATTGAAAAAAAAAAAAAATTGCAACTTACCATCGGCCAAGTACTGCACAGCACGTCGCTTCTGGGATGCGTCCATTATTGCTGTTACTATACTGAAACTAAAAACTGATCTCTGAATCGGGGCCCCCGATGATTTCAGAGAAAAATTCTCTCCTACCAATTTTGAAATTAGTCCTTATTAGCAAATACAGAACAACACACCCAGGTGTTTTTGGGGGGTAAAGAATAAAAAAAAAAAAGTTGATCCTCGGAACTATTGGCTTAACAGTAAAAATCAACCGGTCAGGAGAGCGAGGGTTACTTTGGGTTACCCGTAACGCGTAAAGCAGTTTGGATAATTTTCGCATTTCGGACAAGCCATGGTGGCGAAAAAACCACCTGGTGCCTTGACAGACGGTATGCTAAACACTCGTGAGTGCTACTGTATGTCGTGCCGTGCAAGTACACCTGACAGGCAGATGGTTAAAAGTGAATGCGAAAGTCGTGTTAGTATTGGTAAAACGTTCGAGGCGATAATAACGGCGGCGTTGAATAATATTATGATATTTACTGAGTATAGTGTTGTTGATTTTTTTTGCGGGAATACCGTGCCAAATTTTTGTAACCTTCAAAACTTTCACTTGTATGGTTTACCGCTGCCCCGCCGCCGCCGCTTGGGCCTGCATCACCCGCTCTCTGAGTCTAATAGCAACGAGCGTTTTTCTATGGCATCGTTAACCATAGCCTTTAAAGAATTAACAAAGGTCCAACATGCGTCTTTAACATCTTGAAAAAGATGAGTGTTAAGGTTGCCATGCTCACACAAAGTTTGAGATTTTTGAACCGTATGGTAAAGCGTAATAGCATCCTGCTGAAATGAAATTGTACTAAAATAAGCTGCTAGCGTCCATGTAGAAGTGATAACTCTAACTGTGCCTCGATTTTCAAAGAATATACCCGAAGGTTGGGATAGTTCCTGTACTGTATAATTTTTCTGTGCCTGCGCACCATAAAAGATTGTAAATAATCTGAAAAGAAAAAAAAATAGTCGAGAAGAGAAGAAAAAATATTGGATTTATAAGATGATTTTTAGTTTTTCGATGAACAATGGATATGAAAATCGTCTAATGACACTGTCAAAGATGCATTTCGTGAATTCGACGTCCGTTGCTGCGTCATGCGCAAATGTCAGGTTATGAGGTGTGTTAAGTCTGTCAAGTCTGTGGCCTTTGGAGACTTAGTACACAAAAGTTCAAGAAGGAAGTTGGAAGATTTTTAAATGAAATGAATACTTTCAATCAAAAATAAGGTATGATATGTATTACAATAAGCATTAATTTAATACACAGACAGTAAAAATGAGTGTTTTTGTTTCAAGTATATCATTGATAATACGCAGCCAGAACACTTCTGCCTCGCTCTGGTGAAACGGCTGGTATTTACGCAAAATGGCCATCCGGGTCGGTTGGTAGGAGTCCTTCGAATCTCCGCCTCGGTGACCTTTTCTCAGTTGTGCAATCGTTAATCCTCGAGTCCGGGTTGTTGGTGAATGGCTAAGCTGTCCACTGTTAATTGCGGAACATTGTCGGATAGATGATTTATACGATATTTAATGTGTTTATTTGCGTGTTTTCACAATCTCTAGTTGTACAAAATATATGATTTCTTATAGTTGTATGAATAAATTGGATTTTACAATTTATAATTTATGACGTGTTGTTTACCTTTTGGCTACGTACAAAGTATATGATTTCTTATAGTTGTATGAATAAATTGGATATTACAATTTATAATTTATGACGTTGTTTACCTTTTGGCTACGTACAAAGTAGAGAAAAAACCCATTTAGGTTGTACATTGAATATTATTAATATTCAAGGAGAAATCGGTTATGTCGTAAAACTTGGCTAATTCCAGTAATCCATTACAGGTGTATCACAAAGAATTCCATGCGCCTCCACCAGATTTATTTGCCTCCCTTGCTTCGGGAAAGCCCGATGCAAAAGCTGCAAATGTCCTGTTTGGAGCGAAGTTCTGATAATAAAATATAGAAAATACCGTTGTTGTACACGTCATAACCCTTCATTGAGATGATCTTGTTTTCTACCCCCAATAGGTCCAATAATATCCTGTCGAACTCATCACACCATGTGACGATAATGTTATGTCCTACGTTGAAATTTATATAAGACTTAATGAAGCTACTATTTAAGTTTGCCTTTCCTTCAAAAAGGCTGTCATATATTTCATTGAGTGCTGCTGCTAATTAATCCGGTTTATTTTTAAAAATGTTTTCTAACATGGTTATGGTTGGTTTTAAATGTTTTTGTATAGAAAACCGTTCTTGCGATTTATCTAAATGGAAAATAATGCATACATTAAACTTATTGCTATTTCAGCACCTACATGCTTGAGAGCATCCCATACATTCTCATAATCATGCTCAATTACGCCTCCTCTTAAATGTTCACCAATATCATCAAAAGATGTAAGTCTTCCAGTATTTTCACAATCGAATTTGAAATATGTACTATTACCAATATACGGTTTAACTTGCTTAAGGTACATACCTGACACTGCCTTTGATGTTATTTGCAATGTTTGATGTTGCTTTCCAGGTAAGACTGTTACAATTCCACACGAAAATCCATTGTGTTCGCATTCGAAAAATAAAACTGCTTCACCTTCATCTTCCCTTACTAGTTCTAAAGTATAACCCCCCACTTCAAAATTATTACCCTGACATTTCTTAATTAAAATTTTTCCTTTCTCTATTATTAATTCCTGCCTATTAATTCGTTCAATCATCTCCACCTCCACCGCCATTTTACCATAAGTTAGCTCATGTTTAAAAATATTTATTGATGGATTTATTATGGTACAATCATTATCTCCGTCATCTCTCAAATATTTGAGATCCTTTGATATTATGTCCATTATTTCATTACTGTTACATTTTTTCTTAATTGTAACCACATTATTTATTTGAGCTTGATAACCTATATTATCTGTCAACTTAATGTAATGAAAATATTTCTGGGCTAATTTATTCATTTCTTCAAAACTACAATTTATATCTACTATTTCATTATTATATTGCTTAACTGAATTAGTAATCCCATTAACTGGAACACCATCTGAAAATCCTACTTTGAAAAATTGTTGAGCCTGCTCCTTTTCCTCTAATGTGTACACATATTTTGCATATAACCCATATATGTTCAAATCCTAATAAAAGATACGAATGTAATGGTGAATCCTAATAATTAAACATGAAATCATATATTTCTCCTGGATATTGTATTCTCTCATCCTTTCCTACTACTGTTATTAATCTATAATCATTTGTATGAATAATTTCTAAATCTATTGTCTCTAAAATTTCCTTTAATTTTACTAAAATAAAAAACCAATCCTTCTCAGATCCAATATATGTGTCCAAGTGCATTCGTTCACGCTTCACCATCCAATACGGATAATATGCTGGATTATAACAATCATGCTCCTTAGATGTACAATAAAATCTATATGGAATATTATAATTTTTTAATGCCTTTGATTGACTGTTACTCTTAAAGTATATATGTCTGAAAGGTGTCTTATAAGATTGACCATCTCTCCACTCACCATTATCATTACCAAGATCATCAAAGCCATTTTCTTTACATTCCTCATCATTCAAACGATTAATGTTGTTTGTACATAATGAATAACCACATGTTATGTCCTCCCATTGAGTCTCTGATCTCATAGGAACATAATATTCCTCTGTTTCAAAACTAATTTGTCTATTAATGTCTTTAATTCCAATGTATATAGTTTCATTATTCATTTTCGAAATTTTCACTGTTTTGCAAGGATAAATCGGAACTTCTGTTCTATATGTCCGTGTTTGCTCGCAATTACCATCTTTGCAATTTTCTGATATTAATGTTGATTTATCCAATTGTGCAGCCTTTATCAATTTATCCCTTTTATTAATTAATTTCATACCTCTTATTTTATCACATTTAAATGTATTTCTGATTGTTTTTACATCAAATTTAGCTTCGTCTGACTGCATTTGATTTTTTTGACAAGCTAATCCTGATGTTACATTGTACCAACACAATTCTACCTTATTTCCTGGCGACATGTTAAATGCCACACTATTACCAAACCAAAATGTTAAAGGAAAAATGACCAAAATAATTTGATGCTTTCTAAGAATTCTGTGTAAATTGTATGGCACTATGCTCATAGCATATGTTAAGAAAAATAAAATCTGTAAAATCAAGTATGTTATAAGTTTCTTGTTATAGATAAAACTAGAAATGTTAATGATGGTCGGTACAGACGTGGTTTTGATGTCTATATAAGCTTGGTGTAAACTGAAATATTTTTTAGTTTGCTAAAATGTCAGAAAACAAAATATTACTTAACAATTTGGTAGAATCAAAAAATAATATTAAGCGGAAAATTATGGAGTTAAAGCGCGGTGTTTTAGATTCTGAATATACATTTAACGAAACATTTAAACCGATTATAGAACCACTTAATATGCTAGTTAATGACAAAAAAATGAATAGAATTTTTGATGAGGAATTATCTGTTACAACAAATGAGGAAAACGCTGATCCTCAATTAAAAAAAATATATATAAACATTACCACTCCTCCTCTATACAATTATTTCTACTGTCTTCTAAAAAGTATTTTTTTAATGAATTTAAATTTGAATTAAAAAAAAGAAGTGGTATTTTTTTAGAATTAATTATTAATAAATCATATTTTTTAATTATAGTATCCACCCATTCATCTATCTCTTCCCAGCTTAATTTTTCTTCTTCTTCTTCATCGTCTTTCTGAATCAATAAGTCTTTTCTATACCTATAGTATTTTAATATATGGTTTAAAAATAGAAGATGTTTTAAATTTTTTTATATTACCAATAATCAATTTGTTCATCTTCTATCTTCAACTCCTTAAAATATTCTCTAATCAGTTCAATTTTCTCAGTATGTTTTAAGTGGTCCGGGATCCAGAGAACATATTAAGCACAACATGTTATAAAATCGTTTGTTTTATAAATTTTCTGTCATTAATGCAAATCATGATGAGCTGTAAAATAATGTAATAAAAATTAAGGTGATAGAAAAAAAAATGATTTCAACTAGTTTACATATTAGTCTATTATGACTTCAAATTGATTTAATGGATATGCAGGCGCATTCGAGGAAAAATAGTGGTTTCAAATAAATTTTAGTTGTTATTGATACGTTTACTATCCTCTCTCCGTGCAAAGTGATACATGTCTAGATTTTTATGGCCACCACAAAGTAAGGATGTGATGCCACTAAAATAAAATATTAACTTAATTATATATTTAAAAAAATTATAGATTTTTTGTTGATGTATGAATGTGATTTATGTGTCAAGTTGACTAATATATAAAGCTAAACCAGTTAGGATCTTGTAATTTATATGCTGATCTTTCAGAGCCAGCGAGGAGGATTTTATCTAGTCTACTCTTCACTCGTACCCGTTCATCTCTATTGGCGGTGGAATGATGTATACAATTGACAACACCCAATACTGGTCTAGAAAAAATGGTAACCTCTATCCGTTCAAAGAGATACATGTCTAGATTTTTATGGCCACCACTTATGAAACGTTTACAATAAGGATGTGATGCCAATAAAGACATAACTTCACCGTTTCCGTTTACTGCAGCATTCATATCGAATTGTTCAATAGATGGACGTAGAAATATTTTCAAAATATCATTTATTGCTACATAATCCAGTCTTCTCCTAACATAATATGTACCACCTGCATGCTCATTCCTCCACTTGCATAACACAATACGTGTATTACCATCCTGTAAATAACCGATGGGGTGTATATACTTGGTGCCATTATGTGCCATTGGCACAAACGACGGAAATATAGCTTTTAGTTTATCATCATCAAGCTCTATAGTATGATAAAATAGTACGATATCAGTTTAACTTATTTTATGTTCTTATATTATAGATTACTCACAATAGAGCGTTCATTTTTGAGTCGTCTGGTCGTGTCAAAGAGCGTTGAAGATCAAGAAGGCTGGAACTCTTCAATTGGTCTTCGGTGTGATGCTGCAATCAGTCCCGCCTTTGACAATCGTACCGCGCTGCGCCAGTGTGAAGTTCCCGCAAGTCTGTGGCCTTTGGAGACTTAGCACACAAAAGGTTGAAGAAGGAAGTTGGAAGATTTGTAAATGAAGTTAATACTTTCAATCAAAAAATAGGTATTATATGTATTACAATAAGCGTGAATTTAATACACAGACAATGAAAATGAGTGTTTGTTGCAGGTGTATCATAATACACAGCCAGAACACTTCTAGCTTGCTCTGGTGAAACGGCTGGTATTTACGCAAAATGCCCATCCGGTTCTAGTGGAAGGAGTCCTTCGGATCCCCGCCTCGGTGACCTTTTCTCAGTTGTGCAATCGTTAATCCGGGTTGTTGGTGAATGGCCAAGCTGTCTACTGTTAATTGCGGAACATTGTCGGATAGATAATTTATACAATTTATGTGTTTGTTTGTGCGTTTTTACAATCTTTCAGTTGTACAAAGTATATGTTTTGCATAAATAAATTGGCTTTTACAATTTATAATTGGATTTTACAATTTATGACGTTGTTTACATTTTGGTTACATACAAAGTATAGAATAACTCCTTTCGGTCGTACACATATTAATATTCAAGGAGAAATCGGTCATGACGTAAATTTGGCTGGACTTAGTAATCCATTACATTTTCCTCCCCAAAAGAAGATATTTTGTACATTTATAAACAAAATATCTTTGACAATACTCAATTACGTGCTTGTGTATCTTTTTTTTTTAAAAGTTATACATTATATAGTTATACATTTGAATACATAGTGAATATTATAGGTTAATAGTTAGTATTACATATAGTTTTTTTTTTTTTTTTTAAACATTCAAAATTAGGGGTTAGTATAGGTTAGTACTACAATATATATATTATTTTATTTATTATTTTTTTTTCCAATTACAATTACAATATTTCTTTTCATCAAAGTACAATACAATATATATATTCTTTTTCAAAGTACAATACAATTTTTTTTTAAATTGACATTATAATATTTTTAAAATACAATTACAATTTATTACCTTAGATAATATCTTTAGTTAATTTAGAATCTATGATAAAAGCATCTTTTTCTCTTTATAATTTTGACTGTGTTATAATCTTATTAATTATTATTAGTCACAATCTACTTGACGCCGGTGTGTGTCCTTGAGCTCGGTGTGAGAAAAGACAAGTCCTGTCTTTTCTTGAACTATGGAGAACAAACACCTTCGTCTTCATTAAATGAGGTACGAGCAATTTTTTAAATAAATAAGGAAAGTCAGACTCAATCAAGACAGGGCCATACCAGTTCGGTGTGAAGAGAGACAAGTCCTGTCCCCCTTAGAACTTTTTAGGCATAGCTTAGTCTATGATTTCGTCCACTGCATAATCCATATTAGGTAGTACCCCCGTAATTTGTGATACTAAATAATCCTTGTCTTGGATAGCTATCACTATTGCCATACTAATATTATATGGTCGTAATTTACTAAAACGATCTCTAAATGTAGTTTTAAATTGTTTTTCGGTACGTTTAAGAAAACTATCGGGAAAATTGACTGTATTAGCCTCTACTAATATATCCCAAAGTGATCGTCTTCTTCTATAAATAGTGCAATTTTCAAATGCTATTTTTAGTACTTTAGTAAAATATTTCGCTTTATCTGTCGTATTTTCATGTTCAAAAATTGGATCTAATAAGCTATCCCCCTCTATGGCGGCGTTTACGAGTGCCATTGAGATGTTGTATGGTCGTAAGGACCCATAAAGTTCCCTCATTAAATTTGTAATATCTTTTTCAATGCTTCTCAAATAATGGTCATCAAATTTTATAATTAACTCTGAATTTACTTCAGTTATTATGGTATTTAATGTGTGTCTGGGTGCAAGATGGTTGGTGCAATTATTTAAAGCAAGATTTACGACTCTTTTCATAAAGACTACACGGGGATTGCTCGTACTCATTGTAATTCTAATAAATCATTGGCTATTTTCACTGAAAAATTAACGTCGTAATACACTTGATCGTGTTGACGAGCATAAGCATTAAAATAAGGAAATACACCTGGTGCGTTATAAAATTTATCGAAATCAGATATGGACCATTCGGCAATACGGGCACACCAATTGCGCAAGGCGACTCGAACTTTTTTAGACGATTCGTCTAAGTAATTTAATTTGGGATTATCGTAAAATTCTTTAATGTTAAAAAAGGCGTCTGGCGGGCAGCACGGATATGTTAGTAATAAATCGTCTAATGTTTTTGGCCATAAGTGAACGTCTTCTCCATTCGCAGATTTGATTTGGTTTTTAAATCGGCCATGAGATCGCCAACCAGTCCGTCCAGTTTCTTCTTGGTCGGATGATCTCGTTTCACTGTCCCCACCGCTTTGACGTGGACACGGGTGTACCATTGAGACTTGTCTAGATTGCGTATATCCTCCTTCCTATAATTCATAGGCATTAGTCGATAATACGTAAAATGATATTCACAACTTACTTGTACATCTTGAGTTCGTAAACATAGTCCTCCATAAGGACATGAGCCTTTGCAGTCTTGGATTGTGTGTCCTTTTGTAGAGAAATATCTAAGGATATTTTCCCAGTCGTCAATTTCGAATTCAGCGACGAAAATTCGTCGTCGATATCGAACTCTTCTACGTGTTCTCCAGATGCTGCTGCGACGGAGCCAGGAACAGCGACAAGCTGCGTTTGAGTAAGTACACGCGTGGACGATGTGGACGTGGTCGCCGTGTTCTGAGACGAGTCGGAATTGTTCACGCGTTGATTGATCGCATTGTTGGAGTCCCATGTTAAGTTCATCATATAATTTAATAAATTCTTCGCGTCCCTCATGGACACATATGTCCGAGAGGTAAGCGGAATTTCTTCCCATATATTCGTTATACAACTTAACGGCGTATTCTCTAAGCAATCCTCTGTTTTCCAATAAATCTGACCCAGCAGTATTAGATACGAATCGTCTTCTTCTATAAATAGTGCAATTTTCAAATGCTATTTTTAGTACTTTAGTAAAATATTTCGCTTTATCTGTCGTATTTTCATGTTCAAAAATTGGATCTAATAAGCTATCCCCCTCTATGGCGGCGTTTACGAGTGCCATTGAGATGTTGTATGGTCGTAAGGACCCATAAAGTTCCCTCATTAAATTTGTAATATCTTTTTCAATGCTTCTCAAATAATGGTCATCAAATTTTATAATTAACTCTGAATTTACTTCAGTTATTATGGTATTTAATGTGTGTCTGGGTGCAAGATGGTTGGTGCAATTATTTAAAGCAAGATTTACGACTCTTTTCATAAAGACTACACGGGGATTGCTCGTACTCATTGTAATTCTAATAAATCATTGGCTATTTTCACTGAAAAATTAACGTCGTAATACACTTGATCGTGTTGACGAGCATAAGCATTAAAATAAGGAAATACACCTGGTGCGTTATAAAATTTATCGAAATCAGATATGGACCATTCGGCAATACGGGCACACCAATTGCGCAAGGCGACTCGAACTTTTTTAGACGATTCGTCTAAGTAATTTAATTTGGGATTATCGTAAAATTCTTTAATGTTAAAAAAGGCGTCTGGCGGGCAGCACGGATATGTTAGTAATAAATCGTCTAATGTTTTTGGCCATAAGTGAACGTCTTCTCCATTCGCAGATTTGATTTGGTTTTTAAATCGGCCATGAGATCGCCAACCAGTCCGTCCAGTTTCTTCTTGGTCGGATGATCTCGTTTCACTGTCCCCACCGCTTTGACGTGGACACGGGTGTACCATTGAGACTTGTCTAGATTGCGTATATCCTCCTTCCTATAATTCATAGGCATTAGTCGATAATACGTAAAATGATATTCACAACTTACTTGTACATCTTGAGTTCGTAAACATAGTCCTCCATAAGGACATGAGCCTTTGCAGTCTTGGATTGTGTGTCCTTTTGTAGAGAAATATCTAAGGATATTTTCCCAGTCGTCAATTTCGAATTCAGCGACGAAAATTCGTCGTCGATATCGAACTCTTCTACGTGTTCTCCAGATGCTGCTGCGACGGAGCCAGGAACAGCGACAAGCTGCGTTTGAGTAAGTACACGCGTGGACGATGTGGACGTGGTCGCCGTGTTCTGAGACGAGTCGGAATTGTTCACGCGTTGATTGATCGCATTGTTGGAGTCCCATGTTAAGTTCATCATATAATTTAATAAATTCTTCGCGTCCCTCATGGACACATATGTCCGAGAGGTAAGCGGAATTTCTTCCCATATATTCGTTATACAACTTAACGGCGTATTCTCTAAGCAATCCTCTGTTTTCCAATAAATCTGACCCAGCAGTATTAGATACGAATCGTCTTCTTCTATAAATAGTGCAATTTTCAAATGCTATTTTTAGTACTTTAGTAAAATATTTCGCTTTATCTGTCGTATTTTCATGTTCAAAAATTGGATCTAATAAGCTATCCCCCTCTATGGCGGCGTTTACGAGTGCCATTGAGATGTTGTATGGTCGTAAGGACCCATAAAGTTCCCTCATTAAATTTGTAATATCTTTTTCAATGCTTCTCAAATAATGGTCATCAAATTTTATAATTAACTCTGAATTTACTTCAGTTATTATGGTATTTAATGTGTGTCTGGGTGCAAGATGGTTGGTGCAATTATTTAAAGCAAGATTTACGACTCTTTTCATAAAGACTACACGGGGATTGCTCGTACTCATTGTAATTCTAATAAATCATTGGCTATTTTCACTGAAAAATTAACGTCGTAATACACTTGATCGTGTTGACGAGCATAAGCATTAAAATAAGGAAATACACCTGGTGCGTTATAAAATTTATCGAAATCAGATATGGACCATTCGGCAATACGGGCACACTAATTGCGCAAGGCTGACTCTTAATGTCGGACTTTTCCAGAGCTGGAAGTTTAGCAGTGTTGATAATACTTCGGCTCTGGACAAGTTCGGCATCGGGTTCTTGTTCACCAAAATAGCCATCATCACGACCACCGAAATTGTTGGCATTAGCGTTAACGTTTGTATTAGTACGTCGTCCGTCAATAGTACTTCCATGAAGCCCGAAAAATGCTGAAAGTCTGCCAGGTCTACGATGGTTTTCAACGGTAAGTTCAGCAGAGTTGTAGATTGCATTTCTTTCCATGTTTTCTGATTCGATTCGTCCTCGGAGTCCACTAGTTCTATTACTTGATTGGTTTGTTTTTTTTTTTCTGTTGTTCCAGTGTTGAAGAAAACCCCATTTTTGTATTGGATCGCCGTTTGAGAGTTGTTTGTTTTTTCGGTTTCACCGGCGTTGTCGGTGGAGTCGGCGGATGTTCCTGGGTGAACACTTCGGTCTCTTGCAAGTCCATGATCGTTGTAATTTTTGTTGCGCGACGAGTACAATTGTGTCAATTGCAAGTTTGGAAATTGACTGATACCGAGATCCATATTTGAGCTTATTTATATGCAGTTCGTGAGGCCACAATGGGTAAAATTAATATACTAAACGTTTTAACGATGAAACAGGTTTTTATAGTACCATCTGTGCAACTAGTCCGCCCACAATGCACTATTCATGCCAAACAGACTCCCCGTGACCGATTTTGCCACAATAATTACAGACAATGGGACCCGCATTATTCGAATTAAAATTCCCCGATTGATAATTTGCCTATTTTGCTGAGGTGGAGGTCTATTATTATTATTGCCATTGTTAGTGTTTAGTCTACAATTATAGGATATATGACCTATTTGATTGCAAATCCTACAACGTCTATTATCTACATTAGGACGATTACCATTAAAATTGTTACCCCGATTATTATTATTGCCATTATTCCTTGGTGACTGAAAACCCCTATTCCCGTTGTTATTTGGACCCGTATTAAAATTATTCCCTGCGTTTTGTGATTTAAACATATCCTGTACCCCTCTGTAAGTGATCAAGTCCTTTTCGGCTAGGACTGCGGTTTGCATAGCACTATCAAGTGTAAGAGGATTTTTAGTTTTAACTTCAAATTTAAGTTGTTCATTTAACCCATTAATATAACTAACCAGAGCCTGTGTTTTTACGTTTTCATTTATAATTTTCGCGTCTTCCTTTGATTTCCCTGCGGCTAAAGCGTTACATAATTTTTGATAAACTTCATCTACCCGTTCATTATAACTATTAACTGTTTCATTTTTGTTCATTCTTATTATATTTAATTGAATTTGTAAGTTAGCCGCTGCAAAAGGTGTTTCAAACGCGCCAAGCAATGATTTCTTCAACTCCTCCCATGATGCTAAAGTTTTATATTTAGTACAATTAAATGCACGGCCCGTAAGCTTGGTGCTTATAACCATTTTTAACAAGAGCGGTATTTGATCGGCACTAACTGAATTAATTATTGCCTCACATGCATTTAAAAATTGATAAATATCCGTTTCACCGGAGTATTTAGGAGTTAAATGTAACGCGTCAGTTAAACTTAAAGTGGGAGTTAAAGACATCGTTGCTTGATTAGTTTCTATTTCTGGTGTATTAGCCGTAGCTGTTGTGTTAATTTGTTTTGTCCTAGATTTTGTTTTCCTAACCGTTTGTAGTTCAACATGCACTACACCTAGTGTACTCCTAGTTAATCGCCTATCTGTTTCCCTAAATGTTCTGTTTAAAAGGTATATCGGGTCGGTTTCAGATTCCTGATTAATAATAATAGAACTACCGTTACTGTCGTCTAAATTAATTAAATCAATTTCATTAGATTCTAACGTAACCTCAGATAAATCTAATTCTTTCTTAACATGAGAAGTGTCTAACTGCTTATTATTACTCATACAATCAACTTAATTAACTTATTTTATGTTCTTATATTATAGATTACTCACAATAGAGCGTTCATTTTTGAGTCGTCTGGTCGTGTCAAAGAGCGTTGAAGATCAAGAAGGCTGGAACTCTTTCAATTGGTCTTCGGTGTGATGCTGCAATCAGTCCCGCCTTTGACAATCGTACCGCGCTGCGCCAGTGTGAAGTTCCCGCAAGTCTGTGGCCTTTGGAGACTTAGCACACAAAAGGTTGAAGAAGGAAGTTGGAAGATTTGTAAATGAAGTTAATACTTTCAATCAAAAAATAGGTATTATATGTATTACAATAAGCGTGAATTTAATACACAGACAATGAAAATGAGTGTTTGTTGCAGGTGTATCATAATACACAGCCAGAACACTTCTAGCTTGCTCTGGTGAAACGGCTGGTATTTACGCAAAATGCCCATCCGGTTCTAGTGGAAGGAGTCCTTCGGATCCCCGCCTCGGTGACCTTTTCCCAGTTGTGCAATTGCCAATTCTCGAGTCCGGGTTGTTGGTGAATGGCTAAGCTGTCCACTGTTAATTGCGGAACATTGTCGGATAGATGATTTATACAATATTTAATGTGTTTGTTTGTGTGTTTTTACAATCTTTAGTTGTTCAAAGTATATGATTTCTTATAGTTGCATAAATAAATTGGTTTTTACAATTTATAATTGGATTTTACAATTTATGACGTTGTTTACCTTTTGGTTACATACAAAGTATAGAATAACTCATTTAGGTCGTGTACATTATTAATATTCAAGGAGAAATCGGTTATGTCGTAAACTTGGCTGGATTCAGTAATCCATTACAGTAAATACCTCTTATAGACCCTAAGAAACAGTAAAATATTAATTTGACAAATAATTTTAAAAAAAATTAAACTAACTTACATATTAATCCGAATCAGTTAGCCAAATGGTTTCAATAGCTGGCTGATTAAGACGCAGAAGTGGTGGTAACACGTCTGCATCTGATTCACAAGTAATATCTGTTGACGACCATTTAAAAAAAATAGGAAATATTATTTTATTTCAAATAAAAAAAATTAACTTAAATGAATCTGCTAAAGAAACCGACGATGGTTCCGATGTTCTAGCAGACGATGGATACGAATCGCTGTCCATTTTGAACTAACAGCTCTAACTCACATAGTAAGTTTTGATAGTGAAAAACCCTATCTACACGTTTTAGTGAAAGACAGACGAAACAATTTCGCCTCGTAATTATATGTTCACAAACGTATTCACTCGAGTCGTTACATTGTAACATCCATCGTACAATAGCTAAAATAATTTTATAAATACGAGATTCATTGAACGAGACACGCCGCACCACAGGAACGGTTTAATTATCCTTTCATTCTTCACACATTAATTGTATTCTCAACGCGGGGACGATTTCGCTTTAATAATACCATACACATATACAACTTATGTATGAGTATGTGTACTATACTATTATTCTATGGCGCTCTATGGTCCTCTATGGGTGCAAATAAACATTATTATTATATACCTCTGCTATATTGCTGGGAAAAAAACCATGTTTTTTCAAACTAGAAATATAAAGACAAGAGTCACACAACCACATACAAATACAACAACAAAATTACAGCTAAATTTAAATATATTTTTTTATTGTTTCTATAATGTTGTACATTTTTTTTATTATCTCTTCATCTAGTTTGACATTTTTAATTTTATTTTTATAATTTATTCGTCTTCTAGCATGTTTACTAGGCTTGCCTAGTGACTTAATTTTTTTTATTTTCTCCTTAGGATCTAATAAAATGCTAGATGTTTGTTGTGCCATACCTTGATTGAATAGTAGTGAGGACTGTTACGATATGCTAAAAAAAAATGGATATATATATACCAAGCTATATATATATATATATATTTATAGCTTGGTGCTTATAATCATTTTTAACAAAAGCGGTATTTGATCGGCACTAACTGAATTAATTGTTGTCTCACATGCATTTAAAAATTGATAAGTATCCGTTTCACCGGAGTATTTGGGAGTTAAATGTAACGTGTCAGTTAAACTTAAAGTAGGAGTTGAAGCCATCGTTGATTGATTAGTTTCTATTTCTGGTGTATTAGCCGTAGCTGTTGTGTAATTTCTTTTACCTTAGATTTTGTTTTCCTAACTGTTTGTAGTTCAACATGCACTACACCTGGTGTACTCCTAGTTAGTCGCCTATCTGTTTCCCTAAATGTTCTGTTTAAAAGGTCTACCGGGTCGGTTTCAGATTCCTGATTAATAATAATAGAACTACCGTTACTGTCGTCTAAATTAATTAAATCAATTTCATTAGATTCTAACGTAACCTCAAATAAATCTAATTCTACCT